GTTTCGATTGCTTGCTGTACGTGGGCTGTTTTTTTGCGCTGGGAAGCTCCACTTGCAGGAGCTCTTTTTTCCTACAGAATCGTAGGAAGCCTCGAAGGGCCTCCCCTGTAGGCACCGTTTTCAAAAGGTCTTCGTTTTTGGGGGGTTGCACGCAAAAAATCGGACTTTTCGTTGGTGTCACGGTTTGACGGAATCTTTTTGGGAACCAGACTTGAGTCTTGGGCACCGTTTTCAACAGCCCTTTGTTTGTGGGTTGGACAAAATTCGTCCTTTTCCAGGAGACTGTTGGCGTCGGTTTTGAAAAGTTTGCTTTTTGGGGGTTGCACGGTCCCTCTGAACCATTTGCAATGCTTTCTTGCACTCAAACCCGTCAAATATGTCTCGTATCGTTTTGCTCTGATGTGCTGAGTAAGAAAAAAAGATACTATTTTATTTAATAACAAAACTTCAAATTCGTCTCCTATGGGTGAGCTTCAGAATGTGCCTTCGCCAGCTGCTAGAAACCATCTGGGCATTAGAGTCAGAGCTCGTAGCATCAGAAACTCGAGTTTAGGCTTCACGAGGATGGTTGTCAAGTGCGAGGCTGCCTCCTTCCTGACTATGGACGCGCTTAGCCACTGATGGAAGACTTCCATTCTTGTTGGAGAGGCAGATCCGCACCATCAAGCTTGTAGTGCAAGCGAGGTTCTCAAAGACCGTGGTGGTGGACGGAGTGGAGCATCTAAAAGGTGCAAGAGATCCTGTTGCTGCTGCTGACCCCGCGGAGAGGTTTCGCAGGTTCTTGAGCTAGACGGAGTGTATGTACGAGCACTCTGCAACACCAACAGCGGATGGAACTTTCTCGGCATGTCGTGTCAGTCAATAAGACCTTTTCAACTCCACATGGACCACTGCTGTTTTGAAGAGAGCCTACTTTCACGAGGTCGAGATAGACTATCGAGAACGCGCAACAGCGGCCAATGTGAAGAGTTGCCTCTTCTACGATCAACCAGCGCGCCCTGGTTCGAGAGGATCCGCTTCCAACGAGCGCAAGATGCGACTTCAGCATGCTTCCCGAAGACCACGTGGGTTTTGGCGACTTCAAAGCTGGAAACCTCCACATTGGCATCTACGTCCCTGTCAGCACCAGAGCACGAGATCGTCACGTTCTGATCTATGATTTCAGCAAGGCTTCCAGTCTGCGAAGAGTGTCGAACACGCACTCCTGGAACTTGTAGCAGATTGTTTGCAAAGTCAGAGAATCAGGCTCCCGCGGACGCTGAGAAGGAACGCCTCTTCTGCAAGCCAGGTTCCTCTGCAAAATGGATGGAGCTGGTCATCTACTTCGACATAGAGGTTTTCAACAACAGGGCATAGGAGAAGGAGACGCTGGTGAACGGCAGGGTCAAGACCCTGCAGCATGAGACGGCTTCCACCTGCTTATACTGCAGTGGGTCGCTGTGGCTACGAGGTCCCGCAGCAGCGCAAGATCCATTTGGACTTGTGTCGCGTGGATGACGTGCCCTTCGCCGTCATGGAGCGCTACCTCAGGCGGCTTTTGGATCTGCCTTCGACTTCCTGAACTGGCAGAAACTCAACATTCCGTACGTCCTCACCGCGTCGCAGCAGGCCGAGTTCGACGCCGCCACTGCGTGTTCGCTCTGCGAGCTGCCCTTCACTTCGGACAAGAGCAGGAAGAAGGTCGTGCACCATCGGCACGGGACGGGTGAGTATCTAGGCGCCCTCTGCAACGGCTGCAACCTCGCCGTTCGACGCCAGAAAACCGTGCCGGTGTACTTCCACAACGGCGGCAAGTATGATTTTCACTTCTTGGTCCGAGCCATAGCCCAACTTCACCGCTATGGGAGTGCTGCTGCCATACCCGCCGACGACGAAGACGATCAAGTCGTGGAGCAGGAGTTCCGAGAGCCGGTGGAGGACGACGCGACCTTGCAAGACGACCAGGTACCCGATCTGCACGCGCAAGGACACGAGTCGATGGTGGGCGAGCACCTGGACCTCAAGAAGCCCCGCTGCGAGGTCATGATCAAGTCCGGCGAGAAGTACCTGCAGATACGCTACGGACCCCTGGTCTTCCTGGACAGCTTCAACATCTTCCCATCTGCGTTGGACACACTGATAGACGACCTGCGGAGCACGCACAAGGAGGAGCCGTGGCTGTCCTTTCCGCTTCTTGCCGAACGCCACCCCTGGCTCAAAAACCGAGACAAGAGGGTGTGGGACCTTCTTCTCAACATGCAATACAAGAATATCAGACATTTCGGCTACGCAGCACAGATGACCTTTCCTTTAAGGCTTTCTATGTCGTGGGAAGTCTGGAAGCAAACTTGCGATGAGTGGGCTCAGAGCAGTGCCAAGCCGACTATCCCTGAGCGCATGCAGAACGTCTCGCAACAAGACGTCGATAGAGTTTGGGACAAAATCAGCTTGTACTACGAAAACATGCTTCGCGCTGCACTGCTTCTTGGTGCATCTGAAAGGTTTGGACCCAGGAAGCGCAAGAATCGGCCCAAGCTTGTCTGCAACTACCCGCGCTTCGGCAAGCTGGATAGCTCTACTGCTTCCTTTCTATTACGCAAACTTCGGAATTTGGAGGCCAAGCTTCGCGAATTGGTTTGTCTTGAGCAGCACCAGAAAATGCACACTCAGGAAGCTCAAAATCTGCAGCGAAAAGCTCTACGGAACCCTCTCTGTCCTGGTGGCACTTGGCAGCAGAGGCTGAAGCAAGTTGCCGTCGCTCTGGCCAAGGAGAGACAGAAGGAGCAGCAAAAGAGGCTTTGCGCTTGGAGACAGTCTTTGCAGAGCAGCAACTCCCTCTGCTACAAATGGCTCAAGCGTGGCGCTCCGCAAGTTTTCAAGGGACTCATTGCTGAAAAGCTTCAAATCAGCGAGCCGGTTACCTTGGTTTCAGAAGCCCTTGATGTTATCAAGGCTCACTGGCAGCAAGTATGGGATCGTACTCCTGTTGATTTCAACGAGGTTTGGCACCATCTTCAGCATCAACCTGAGTACCAACGTTGGAGTGCTGAGGATTGGCCTGAGCTGAGCACTGCCGAGTGTGCTGCTTCGGCCAGCAAACTTCGTGGTAAAGCTGGTGGCATCGACGGCTGGTCAGGGGCCGAAGTCGCTTCTATTCCTTTGGAGCACTGGGATGTTTTCTGTGACTTTACGCATTGGATCGAAGCAGTTGGCCTTAGTCCAAGTGGATGGAAGCAGCTCAAGCAATGCCACATCCCTAAACCTTCGAAGACCGTCAGAGCCGACGGCGTGAGCGAAGTCTCAGACTTGAGACCAATCTCCATCTCTAGCTCCTTCTACAGGGTTTGGGCAAGCAGCAGATTGAAGTCCCGCCCTGCTAAAGAGTGGATGTCTACGTGGTGGCCGTCAGATGCTATTGGTGGCAAGTCTCAGGGCGAGGTCTTCGAAGCCTTGGCTCCGTTGGCCGCTGCTGCCGCCGAGAAGCAATTCGTCGCCACTTTGGACAGTCTTGCCTACGACTACTGCGATCCAGATCTGGCGGTGGGCATCATGAAGAGATTAGGACTCCCTGAGGGCATCGCGGCCCTGCTCTCCGCAACGTGGGGCCAACAGCAACGTTGGCTTCTCTTTGAAGGCCTGGTGCATCAGACTTCGGTCAGTGTATCACGGTCCTTACCGCAAGGTGATCCCTGGTCTCTGGCTGGTCTCGTAGCTACGCTCAAGGTGCCCATGCAGCAGATTTCCAATCAGCATCCTCAGATGACCGCCCGCAGCTTCGTTGACGACCGCAGCTGGGCTACGCCCTCGGCCGCGGAAACAGTGGAGGTTATGCGTAAATGGCACTCCTGGTCTGACAGGTTGGGGTTGCATGAAAGCTATGGCAAGACGCAGTTCTTCGCTGCTGATCAGAGTTGCAAGAAAGCTCTGTTGAGAAACGGGGTTCCGGAACAGCAAGTTAGCTGCTCTCCTTGTCTCTTAGGCACAGCCTTCAAAGGCACAGCGCGGCGTAAAAACACGCCAAAAGAGGAAGAGCGACTTTGCAAGTCGCAGAGGCTTGTCCGCAGAGCTTCTTCCCTGCCGGTGCCTTACAAGCGCAAGCTGATGATCATGGCTGCTGCTCCTTTCGCGAAAGCAGCATGGGGTCGGTTTTTCAAACTGCCTACCAAAGCTCAGTTTCGACAGTTTGGTGTTACTGTGCGCAAGGCCCTCAACGAGCCAAAGCGTGCATGTGTGCATCTGCGCAACATCTTAAGGGGACATCGCACGGACTTGCCTTTTCGCATTTTGGAGATGAATGTTTTGGCTGCCCGCAGATGCGCCCTTAAGTTTCCTGACGGCTTTCCCTGCACGTGGGATGCTCAGCAGGGGTGGCCTGCAACAATTGCTCAGTCGCTCAAGCGAACTGGCTGGGAGGTCACAGCTCCTTGGTGCTGGAAGCACACACAGATGAACCGCTCTTTTTCTCTTGATCGCAGCAGACGAAATTTTGCAACAGATAAGGGCCTCCTTGCACATCTCTTGCGTGAAGCATGGAGGCGTTCAGAGTGGGAGGCTTGGCACTCCTCCAGCAGAAATGATGCAGCTGCATGCGCCGATCAGCAATACAATGAACGCAGATGCAAGCTTGCAAGAGAGGTGGCTCAATCTAGCTATGCTGCTTTCGGTTTTCTTTCTGGTGCATTTGCCAGTCCCGCAACGATTCTGAGGGATGAGAGCCTGTGCGAACTTTGCGGACTTGAAGTTCCCACGACTGAGCATCTCCTTTGGTCATGTCCTGCTTTCGCGAGCAACAGACCGCGCAAACCATGTGTTTCACTGCAAAGACGCTTAGCTTGGCCAGCAGGGTGGTCTACTGATACGGCGGTCGTTAGTCACTGCCTTGAGGTTCGCTCCGCTGTGCTGGCTGCTAGGTGGAAGCCATCCACCAATCCGGTTGCTTGAGGAGCCCCGAGCTCCTCTGGACGAGTTACTGCCTTTCCTGGTGCTGGTGCTCGTCTACGAAGACTGTGTGTGAGATCCCCATGCCGTTTGAGAGCTTTGCGGGGCCCAATGCTTGGGACGCAAAAGCCGTGTGGCCGCAGAAGTGCTACGACAGCAGCTTGAAGGGCAAGTGCGATGACGAGAAGTACGGCGAGATCCAGGAGATCCAGGAGCACTTCCAATTCCCAGACTTCGCCTCCTTCCACAACTGTTACTTGTACACGGATATGGCCATTGCCGACGTGGTGGAGGCGTACAGGGACACCTTCCACCAGAACTTCGGCATCGATCCGGTCCGATATGTCACCTTGGCAAGCGCTGCCTGGGACGCCATGATGAAACGCTGCGCCCCACGCAGGAACTCCCTGCAGCTCATCAACAACCGCAAAATCTACGACCTGGTCAAGAGCAGCATGCGTGGAGGCCTCAGCAATGCGTTCCAGCCTTACGCCAAGGCCAACAACAGCTTAGTTGTCGACTACGACGACCGCCTTCCAACGACCTGGGCGCCAAAGTTCGACGTGAACTCGCAGTACCCGACCGTCATGAACAATCCCTTGCCCTGCGACGGCGGCTACCTTTTGGATCTCCCCTCCGAGCGAAAGGCCCGCATGAAGCTGTTCTGCGACTGCTTGCACGAGTCGGACTTCAGGCAGAAGGACTTCGGTCACAGCTACTTGGTGGAGGTCGACTACTACCTGCCCCTGGACCAGCACGACCGCGTTGACTGGGCGCCCATCACCAGGATGAGCGTCGACACGTCCGAGATGAGCAAGTATTAGCTTGAGCTCTTGGCCAAGAAGGGGCTGGACAAGGCGCCCAAGAACGAGAAGCTCATGCCATATCTTGGCCATCACCGTCGCGAAGTCATACGGCTCCGCCTCCTGCGCTTCTACATGGAGGTCCTCGGCGTCAGAGTCGAAGAAGTCTACAGCATCGTGGTTTTCGGGTGCAAAGCGTTCATGAGTCCCTTCATCAGAGAGTGCTACGAGCGCAGGCTCGAGTTCAAGCGACAGGGTCGAAAACTCCAAGCCGATGTGGTGAAACTCACCATGAATGTACAATACGGGAAAAGCGTCCAAAACCAGGAGCGCTTTGTTCGGTCGTTTGTTTGCTTCGACGTCGAGGAGTTTGGTCGAAGAAGCGCTGGGCCCCGCATGGTGGACCTCCATGCCAGCCCCATTGGCCACGGCGGCTTCTTCGCCATTGTGGACGAGCTCACCCCCGGCGGTTCGCTCCTCAAGACCATGCCGCAAGTGGGAACCTTCGTGCTGGACGAGGCGAGGCTTGGCATCATGCGAAACTACTACCACATGAAGCTGGTCTTCGACGGGTGCCTGACCAAAGCCTGTGACGAGGCGAGGCCGCAGAGCGAGAGGTCGAAGGTGCAGATCATCTACACCGACACCGACAGCGTCATTGTGTTGATCCACAGCGAGACGCACCCTTCCTGCCAGCTGGCCCTGGAGAACTTCGAACCCCGAGTCGCCGTGCTTCTGGGACATCCTGGGCGACATCAAGGACTACGAGAAGGGGATGACGTACCTGCAGAGCATCGGCGTCGACCCTGACTCGGCTCAGCTCGCTTTTCAGCTGCGCGGCTGCTTGGGCGGCTTTGGCGACGAGAACGCGCCCCTCACCATGATGGAGGTGGTCTGCTAGGGACACGACAGTTAATACACTTTGCCTGGTGATATTTATTGTTTTCCTTTTTCATGCAACATAGCAGAATGAAGACCGCAACTTGTCACTGGAACAGAATCGCAGCCAAAGAGGTGCTGGAGGCCGTCAGTGCGTGCGCTGATAGTCCCTTAATATCTTGAGCTTGAACTTCCTTGAAAAATCGGGCTTTGATTTTTAAAGGAAACGGCTGCCGGAAAAGTTTCTGTCAACATGAGCGCCAAGTGGTGCTATCTTGCATCTTCTGTACCCGCGCTCGCCTCCTCAAGGTAGCTTGAAGTCGGTCGTGCATAAGCCTCAAGTGACATAACATGCTATCTGCTTACTGAACAAGCTGATGACCTTGCGCATGTAAGGTTGCAGAGATTTTTCTCTGAGCCATGGGGAACTCCCTTTGTCGACGGCGTTATCGCCTTCAATCCTCCGATTGGGAGGATACCGATTCCGACATGGATGTCGATGTACGTGTGTGCCCTGAGCAGTGCCAGGTTTGCAAGGCCTATACCTGCATTCGCAAGCGCACGTTGCCTGGTGGCTGCAGAAGTACGACTACTAGTCGATGTCTTCAGAAGGTCCCGCGGCGACCTCGCCTGTGGCCGCCCAAACGGGTAAGAGGGGGTTTAGTGGGGTTGATGAACCAAGCCCGTGGCAGCGCAGAGTGAATGCCCGTGCAGCCCAGCCGAGCAACACCCCACTTAGTCCTAAGCAACTTGCCACAATTCCCCCCGCTACCCTAACTAGGGGTTTTGGTGCCGTAAACCCTCTACCTGGTAGAAGGTTAGTTGCAAATAAGCCCGATCAAAGTCTAAGTGGATGCGACTCCTCCCACCCGGGAAAAAGTGGAGCCTTGGGCAGTGTGTCTGTTGCTGTGCCGAAGGAAGGGTCCGTGCATGCCATGACTTTGGGCAGTGTGTCTGTTGCTATGCCGAAGGAAGGGTCCGTGCATGCCATGACTTTATTGGGTGGTAGCTTGCAGCCTCGTGCCAGCGGCTCTCGTGACACCATGGTGGATTCCTCCGCCTGCTCAGCCGAGGAAGTGGCCTCTCCTCTTAATGATCGGCTCAGCGCCAAATCAGGCACAGGCAAGCTCCTTCCATCTGGGAGGGCCGCCCCTCCAACGCCGCCCCGATCAAGGCGAGGCAAAACCTTCGTGTCCGCATCTTTCGAGTCCTCTCGCAAACACAGGCAGCAGCCGCAGCAGCCAAGCTGCCCCTCCACTACTTCCACAGAGAAACGACCTGCATTGCATGTGGCAAGTTCGAAGGTGGACCGTATTCCAACGGAGGGCCAAGCTGCCCTGGGATGCTCGTCTGAGGACAGCAGCTCTGCAGTGCTCACTCAAGATGCCGCCGAAGCCTTGTTGAATAAGCTGGACCAAAAGCCTGAGTGCAACTCGGGCCACCCGCTGTTCAGATTTGGGACACCGGGTCCCAACTGGACGTGTTCCAGCTGCCTAAAGGAGTTCGGAAACCGTAAACTTCTGTGGGGTTGCCGGGTGTGTGACTTTGACTTGTGTGGTTACTGCCTTGCTGGGCGCAGTGTTGGGGGTAATAAGAGACCGGATGCCCAAAGATTGCCGCCTGTGAGGCCTGGTCGTGCACGCATTGCTACTGACCTCCAACTTGAGCTGACATCGCTGTCAGCGGATGAGTGTGCCAACGAGCTCCTGCCCGACATAGTGGATGTCACCTTAAAAGTCAATGCTGAAAAGGTAAGCGCACATGCTGTCTGCCCTTCGAGCGACTTCAAGGGAGGCTTCCGGAAAGTCTACCTAGTAGACTTGTCACCTAATAACCATCGGGTGGTGTTGAAAATCGCCAAAAGTGAGGCTGACAGCGTCTGCGAACTTAAAGCTTCGCATGCGTGTCCTGCAGTCTTTACTAAGGTATATGACAGTGGTTCGATGGAGTTGTGCCTCCGGCCGCATTCCGTGTGCAACGTTTTCTTCCTCCTGTCGGAACAGGTTGCAAGGCTGAGCGACTTTATTGGAATTTTGCCCAAAAATGTCGCCACGCTGGTTGCCTTCCGTAGCATGCAGGCAATTTGCTTGGCCACTGAACACAAGGTCAAGTGCAGAGACCTCGGGGTCCAGCAATGGGGCTTCCGAGGGCTCTCAGATCCACGTGCCAAGCCTCAGGTGCTCCTTCGGGAGCTCAGTCTGGGCCTTCAAAGTGATTCGGTCAGGCTGGTGATCTTGGATGCAAATTGTTGCATCCCAGATACGGAGAATGCGAGCCTGCTGGCTCCCAGGCGTATGTCGTCGTACTGGGCCATGGTTTTGTCGCTGACTAGTGAAACCGTCGTCACCAAGGTGCAATCCTTCTTGAGATCTCAAGGTTTCAATGCCAGAAGGGTCTCCGAAAACTTGGCGAGCTCCATTTATACGGAAGGTCCAGGCTGACCGGGATCCTTACGGCCGCAGAAACAGCTCTGACGCTCCTACAGGCCATAATGTGCGCCCCACTCGTGCAAGAGTCGCAAGAGCGACCTTAACAATGTGCCGAGGGGCGCAGTCAGGCCAAAGGGGCCTACAGGTTGATACCTGGCATATGAGCATGAAGAGTGAGAAACAGTCGGCAGTGCGCTCGTCTTTGCATGACACCTGTCGGTTAGGCTTGTGGTGTCGTATCATGTCGGTCGTTTCTTATCGTATGAGCCATAGTCATAGTCTTTGTTCCCTCACTTTTGACTGGTGAAACACCGCGAAACAACCTCAAAACCTGGACGTCAGAATCTTCTCGGTGGCCTATGTGGCCATTCTGAAGTGAGTGTTGAAGCTTTCAAGTCAACGTAAGCTGTCAAAGTGCTGCGCTTGTGTGCGTACTGGAAGCGATCACGGCTAGTTGCCAACATTCCGCCTTTTTGGCGAAGGGCGAAGTGCCAATGACCTAGACGGTCTTGACTCAATTGAATATGTGTGGATGCGCACTTCTTTGTCCTTTTGAATGGGACGTGTCATGCATTAACCGTGAATCTGATGCGTTCGAATTCGTTCGATCCGGTGAGCTTTGCTGGGGGTGTTCAAACATGTAGAGTCTGCGAGTTTGGCCACGGAACAGCCTCTGAGTTGAAGTGTCTTTCATCTGCCTCATGCATTCCTAATGTGCGAGAGATCTGTCTGAAGCTTTCTCTTCGTATTCACGTGCAGTTTCCATGTCTCTGTCAGGGTGGTCATTCGTTTCCAGTATGCTGTGCTCATGTGATCCTGAGATGCGCGTACCTGCAGGTTTGGCCGAGGAGCGATGTCCACATTGAGTTGATCTCATGAACATGTCGCATTGCAATCCTTTTATTGTTAAGCTCGGCACGATGTTTTCCTCTCGCCACCTGTACAGTCTAGGTATTCCACGGGTTTTGACCTGGTTCGTCCGAACTCGCCATGTCTTCGGTAATTGAATGATGAGGTCGAGCCTGGCAGTGCCGATGGGCCCTCGTGCGAGGGACCCGCACCTCCGTCTACAAGCAGCCTTACCATTTTGTTGCCTATGATGTTGCCAAGTCATTCTTGGTGTTTGGATTTGTGCCAAGAGCTTGTGCTTGACTCACAGCTGCTGGGGTCGCTTGCTAATCGATCGCGCGTCCGAGTTCCTTCCCTCGCACCCGTAGTGTGCCTGAAGCCAACAAGACCAGAGTTGCCACTGTCTGCTGCCCGCCAAAGCGTCGCTGGACCTGCCGGGCACAACTTGCTGACTCCTGTTGTCAGCCGAAGCATACTGCGTGTTGGTTTGTTCCGCCTGAACAAGCCAACAGCCAATTCATAAACTCACAACTTCCCGGCTAATCTACCCAGTCCTGGTGCTTTAAAAATTGTTCTCACAAACGGTGCCGCACCTTGTCCCACCCAGTGCATACGCTCCGACCATACATGCTTTCTGTTTAAAGATTTTGGCCATTGCCAGTGCGAAAACTTTCCTCGCCCTTGGGCTCTGTAATCAATCGCTTCTTTGAGCCAGGTGCCGTAATCTGCTGCCAAACTTCATGTCCTACTCTAACACCTCGGTCATTCTGTCCGACAAGAGCTCGCCCTCTGGGCTAGATGGTAGGCCACGCCATAATAAGATGTTGGACCAGCATAGCCTCTTGCCAACTCCCCACTTAGGTCCCCTAGGGTTTCCCTTGCTGCAAAAGCATGGCCTTTTGCTGGATTCCAACGTTACTCAGTTCCCCTGGGGTTTCACCTCGCCCTCACCGGTTCCCCTCGTCTGCGAGGCCCTCTTGAACTTATACGGTTTTTCGACTATGGCGCCTCGATCTTCCTTCTGACTGCCCACTGACCACCGCAGCTCAAGACATGAGTTCATCCGCGCACCAAGGTGCCCGTGAATCTGCTGCAAATGTCGCGCAGATGATCATGGCATGTGCTATTCCTTGACCGAGGCATGCGCCCCGACTGCCTAGTCGGCGCTTTCACTCACGCCCCAGCGCTCTTGCAGGCCCCAATTTCCCCGGAGCTCCGCTCCTGCAATATGCTGCTCCTTTCTAGGCTCAGCCTCGCTTTGCTGGTTGGGCCCAATTCGGCTGCTAGCTCAACGTCGCGATACCACAGTCACCTTACTTGGCCTCATCACGTGCCATATCCGAATTGGTGTGAGCTATTACCCTCCTTGGAGTGTACCTCCGTTGCAATTTTGCTTGACACCCTGAACCCTAAGCTCAGAGTCGCGGCTCTGTCTCGCAGTCCATTCACTTCCCTAGCCAGTCAGTCCCGCTTCGCAGCTTGGGACCCTCGCCTTGAGTCATTTACTCCGCGATTCGCCCTATCTCAATCTACCTCTACGAAAAACCGTGTTCTGCAAATGCATGCAGCCTGCCGCGTCAGGCTGCATGCCGCCTGCCTGCCGACAGGTAACTCTCACTGCTGTGGCTTTCGTCCGCAATGCTTTTCAGTCCATCCGGTCTGCATTGGGCTTCTGCTGCAGGCCCGCTTTTTCTTGCCTGTCTGTCCACCGATAAACTGTCACGGGCATTCGCCCCGCTCCCCC